GCATTATACTACAATTACAATTACATGCATTTATCAAAGTAATGCATTATATTACAATTACTTTTGCAAAGTAATGCCTTGAATTACACATTACGTTTGAAAATTTTATTAGTGAATAGAAAAATTAAACATTTTGAAAAACAACTAGAAGTCACAAAAGATTCTAGCATATGCAGTAACTGTTCCATGAATTGAATATAAGTATACATGTAAAAAGTCTATTTAATTTGACTTTTACAATTTTTAATTATTTTAACTTAATGTTGACTTTTATAAATATTTTTTTTGTTGTTTTTTTTTAAATTTTAAACGAAATATTTAATTACTGTGAATTACTTCCCTAATTATAAAATAAACATAGACCTTAATTAATGAACAATTGTCTAAATGGTGAAAATATTGATTGTTAAACAAACTAATTAGTGTTTTATAACAAAGTTTAATTATCTTTTATTTAAGCAAAACAAAGATATTCTTTGATCTTATGACAACAATACAACTATGCTTTTCAAATATCAATCTTTTTATGCAGGAAAATGTATGAAATAAGATGAAATAAAGAAATATTCTAATGATTAACATATTCTTAGTTAATCAAGAAATCTTAAATTTGGTTTAGTTAAAACCTCCAACAATATTTTAAAGATGTAGTATGTGAAAAAAGTAATGACATGTAATGCCATGTAATGCATGAAATTACACATTCCATTCAGTGGTTCTCTAAAAGAAGACATTTGTATGTATTTCCCATAGGGTCCTATGTTTAACTAAGTCCCCGGCTGGCGGCCATCTTGGATGATGGATCCGCTACAAAGTAACTACACTTGGTCAGCACCTCATAAGGAACGTTCATGCCATGTTTGGTTTCATTCCATTCAGTGGTTCTCTAGAAGAAGTTCAAAATGTAAAAAGGTAACGCCGACGACGGACGACGGACGCCAAGTGATGAGAAAAGCTCACTTGGCCCTTCGGGCCAGGTGAGCTAAAAAGGGGGGGAGGGGAGGGGAGGTGGAGGATGGTGGACCTTGGTTGATAAATTAAGATAAGATGCATGTATACATCATGATACCTGCAAAGTTTGAGGCTATAATTAGTTCATTTTGTTCATTTTACTATTTCAGTGGCATGGAACCCCTAAAACAATGACGCGTACCATTTTGACAAAAACTTTCCAGTTATATCATGTCGCGACTAACATTTTGGTCAAATTTTTTTTATACGCTTACGGTTTACGTGTTACAAAAACACACAGAAAAGTGGAAAGACCTAATAAATCTATAAATGTAGAGCTTGATTAACTATTTAATATCCCAACCCTCCAATTGTGGAATGGAACCTTGTGCTTAAATTTCTTACACATCCATACACTTATACTAAAGTTATTGTCTTTAAACTAATTTATTTTCCATGAACCAGTGATGTATACCACAAAAATAGTTCTCTAAAATTGATTTGGTGTTTTATCTATTTTCAACTATGACCCGAATTAAAATTTCTGTTAATTTTCCAATAACGTCTCTGAATTTAGATTCTGAGCAAATATGTAATAAAAGCATAGTTTCTGACACAGACATGACAGAATGAATGTGGTATAAGTTCTTAAATAATTTCAAAATTAGACATTTACCAATTATGGTCCATTATTCAAATTCTAAATACATGGTTGGATTCAGCATATCAAATAACCACATTGTTTCATTTTTTTGTTAAAATCAAACTAAGTTTTATTTTGGATACTTTGGACCTTTATGGGGTCCAGTTTGAAAAACAAGCCCAAAATCAAAAATTTTAAACACTGTTAGATTGCACACATTAAAGAACACCAATGATTTATTTTTTGAAGAAATCAAACAGTCTAATTTTGGACCCAAATTTGGACCAACTTTGAAAACCAAGCACAAAATCAAAAAATTTAAAACACTGTTATATTGACCATATCAAATAACACAAACAATTTAATTTTTGATGTTATCAAAAAATGTTCAATTTTGGACCCCAATTTGAACCATGTTGAATACTGTGCCCAAAATCAAATATCTAAATACAAGCTTCGATTCAGCATATCAAAGAAGCCCAACTATTTTTTTTTCTTTAAATCAAACAAAGTTTAATTTTGGACCCTTTGGACCTTAATGTGGGCCGACCATGCCCCAAATCAAAAATCTTAATACACCTTTAGATACAGCATATCAAAGAACTCCAAGAATTCAATTTTTTTTTAAATAAAAAAAAAGTTGTATTTAGGACCCATGGACCTTAATCATGTTAATGTGGATCAATTTGAAAACAGGCCTCAGATTCAAAAAATCTTATAACACAATTAGATCCAGTATATCAAGGAACACAAATAGTTCAATTTCTAAAGAAATCAAACAAAGTTTAATTTTGGACCCTTTGGACCTTAATATGAATCATTTCAAAAACAGACCCTAAAATCCAAATATTAAATACCTAATTAGATTCAGCATATTAAAGACCCCAAAGAATTCAAGACTATTGAATTAAACACCACTGAAATTGCTAAACAATTAGCAATTTATACAAAGTATTGGTTTGGGCCTCTTTTAACTAAACCAATAAGGTTATAACACCTAAAATCAATACCAAACTATATTATATGGTATAACAACTTGTGGCACAATTAAATAGCAATAAATAGGCTTATACTCAAATTATTGTCCAGAAAACAGAAAATCCTTGTTTTTTTTGCCCCTTTTCAGCCCCTTATTATTAAACGGTTTGGACCATGACCCCTAAAATCACTCTCAACATTCCTTTTGAAGTATGGAACCTTGTAGTAAAGTTTCATAGAAACCCACTCTAATACACAAATTAGTGTCCTGAAACATGAAAAATGCTTGTTTTGACCCCTTTTTGGTCCTTACTTACTAAATAGCTACAACAATAACCCCCAAAATAAATCCCATCCTTCCTATTGTGGAATGCAACCTTGTGCTTAAATTTTATACAGATATATACAGTTATACAAGTTATTGTCTGTGAACCAGACAAATAATTGTTTTTGTTAGGCTCTTTCTGGTCCCTAATTCCTAAACAGCTACTATAATAACCCCCGAAAAAAAACCCAACCTTCCTATTGTGGTATGGAACCTTGTGCTAAAATTGAATAGAGATCCATACACTTATATTCAAGTTATTGCCTGCAACCTAGAAAAATAATTGTCTTCTGCCCCTTTTCGACCCCTAATTATTAAACGGTATGGGCCATGACACTCAAAAATTCGTAAGGGTTCCGCAGAACCCAGTGTCTCGCCTACTTTTGCCGTTAGTCGCAGGCTCAACAAAAATGGGGAAAATTTTTTTAAACATTTTCCTCTAGATACTATCTTTTGATTGTAAGAAGCTTCTGTCCAAGTCTGGTAAGAATCCAGGATGGTTTAAGGAACTTATAAATGTTTTTAAAACTTTAACTGCAGACTATATGTAATGTTAACTGGAAGAAAAACTAAGTCCAGTAGTATACGAAAAAACAGGTAATAAATTTTTACAAAATTTCTTTCTAGATACTGTCTTATGATCATAAACAAGCTTCTGTCCAAGTTTGGTAGAAATCCAGGATAGATTAAGAAAGTTATTAAAATTTTAAAAACTTTAACCACAGAGTGAATGTAATGTTAACTGGCAGAAAAACTAAGTCTATTTATAAGTAAAATACGGATAAACAGGATTTTTTTTTTTTGCAAAATTTACTTCTGGATACTGTCTTATGAATGATCATAAACAAGCTTCTGTCCAAGTTTGGTAGAAATCCAGGATAGTTTAAGAAAGTTATTAAAATTTCAAAAACTTTAACCACAGAGTGAATATTTGTGGATGCCCCCACCGACGACGACGACGGAATGTAGGATCGCTATGTCTCGCTTTTGCGACTTTTTTTGCGACAAAAGTCGCAGGCTCGACAAACCTCATTCTAAACTTCTTTGAAGTATGGAACCTTGTGGTAAAATTTCATAGAAATCTATATTCTTATACACCAATTATTGTCCTGAAACATGAAAAATGCTTGTTTTTGGCCCCTTTTTGGCCCCTAATTCCTAAACAGCTACGACAATAACCTTTACAAAAATTTACAAAATTTATGAAAATTGTAAAAAATTTACTATAAAGGGCAATAACTCCTTAAGGGGTCAATTGACAATTTTGGTCAGTTTGACTTATTTGTAGATCTTACTTTGCTGTACATTATTGCTGTTAACAGTTTATCTCTACCTATAATAATATTCAAGATAATAACCAAAAGCTGCAAAATTTTCTTAAAATTACCAATTCAGGGGCAGCAACGGGATGTCAGATTCATCTGAAAATTTCAGGGCAGATAGATCTTGACCTGATAAACAATTTTACCCCATGTCAGATTTGCTCTAAATGCTTTGGTTTCAGAGATATAAGCCAAAATCTACATTTTACCCCTATGTTCTATTTATAGCCATGTCGGCCATCTTGGTTGGTTGACCGGGTCATCGGACACATTTTTTAAACTAGACACCCTAATGATGATTGTGGCCAAGTTTGGTTAAATTTGGCCTAGTAGTTTCAGAGGAGAAGATTTTTGTAAAAGTTAACGGACGACGACAACGGACGACGGACGCCAAGTGATGAGAAAAGCTCACTTGGCCCTTTGGGCCAGGTGAGCTAAATAGCTAGGACAATAGCCCCCCAAAACAATCCCAACCATTCTTTAGTGGTATGGAATGTTGTGCTAAAATTTCATAGAGATCCATGAACTTATAATCAAGTTATTGTCTGCGAACCAAAATGTCTTCAGACGCAGACGCAGACAACACCATAACATAATACTACTGCAAATAAATTTGCGGTCGTACAAAAAAATCGCAATAATAAATGCACGCAATAATTTCGAATTTAAGGTATGTAGTTGGCCACAAAAGATCCTGATATGAACTCTGCCAGACAGACATATACACCAAACACTTTTAAAATACCAAATATTTATTACAGAAATTATTAATGAAAATTACCTTCCATCCCTTGACCAGCAGTCACACCTGAAGATTCCTCTGACATGACAGACTGAAAAATAAGGAATATGCACTGTGAATATACCTTTACTCATATTTCTTGTAGAACTATTAAATTTCTAAAATATAAACCCCCCAAAAATAATATACAATAAAAATGTTACACATTATATAATATATTTATCGATAAAATTTTCATATTTTCCAAAAAATTGTGAGGCCCAGATTTAAAGTGTACAGGTTGTTTTTGAATTTACTTTGTGTTTATTTGCAAGAGCATTTTAAATGCACCTTTGAATCGAAAATTATTCCAACTGTAGAATATTCTAATATTCTGTGACCTTACACTTGTTACCATTTGTCTTGATTATGTCTCCGTCAATTTTTGGATAACCTCCATTTGAAGTATGTAATTTGTGGTAAATTAAGTACAGATATGTTCAACCGTAAAATAAAATTGTCCCTTAAGCTAAGATAGTATTTGGGGTATAACTAAACTATATAGGCTCGAAGGAGCCTGTATATGGCTTACCCAGCATTTTTGCCCCTCAAAATTTAAACAATGCAACAAGAATATTTGTGTTTATTGGAAAATTTCTGCCAAAACCTGTCTTGCTGATCATTTTTGCTCAACCAGGTTTTGTAGTTTAAAGATAAAAAGCAGAAATGAAAATTAGACAAGAGCCTCAAACAAGAGTGTATCGCTTGAGAACCTTGGCATTTTGGCAAAAACTAAATTGGATTGATTGATTGATTGTTGGTGTTTAACACCACTTTCAGTACTATTGTCTATATCGTGGTGGTAAGGATTGATTGATTGTTGATGTTTAACACCAATTCCAGTACTATTGTCTATATCGTGGTGGTAAGGATTGATTGATTGTTGGTGTTTAACACCACTTTCAAATTCAGTACTATTGTCTATATCGTGGTGGTAAGGATTGATTGATTGTTGGTGTTTAACACCACTTTCAGTACTATTGTCTATATCGTGGTGGTAAGGATTGATTGATTGATTGTTGATGTTTAAAACCACTTTCAGTTCTATTGTCTATATCGTGGTGGTAATGATGGATTGATTGTTGGTGTTTAACACCACTTTCAGTACTAATGTCTATATCGTGGTGGTAAGGATTGATTGATTGTTGGTGTTTAACACTACTTTCAGTACTATTGTCTATATCGTGGTGGTGAGGATTGATTGATTGTTGGTGCTTAACACCACTTTCAGTACTATTGTCTATATCGTGGTGGTAAGGATTGATTGATTGTTGGTGTTTAACACCACTTTCAGTACTATTGTCTATATCGTGGTGGTAAGGATTGATTGATTGTTGATGTTAAACACCACTTTCAGTTCTATTGTCTATATCATGGTGGTAAGGGTTGATTGATTGTTGGTGTTTAACACCACTTTCAGTTCTATTGTCTATATCTTGGTGGTAAGGGTTGATTGATTGTTGGTGTTTAACACCACTTTCAGTACTATTGTCTATATCGTGGTGGTAAGAATTGATTGTTGATGTTTAACACCACTTTCAGTACTATTGTCTATATCTTGGTGGTAAGGATTGATTGATTGTTGGTGCTTAACACCACTTTCAGTACTATTGTCTATATCGAGGTGGTAAGGATTGATTGATTGTTGGTGTTTAACACCACTTTCAGTACTATTGTCTATATCGTGGTGGTAAGGAGAGATTGATTGATTGTTGATGTTTAACACCACATTCAGTACTATTGTCTATATTGTGGTGGTAAGAATTGATTGATTTTTGGTGTTTAACACCACTTTCAGTACTATTGTCTATATCTTGGTGGTAAGGATTGATAGATTGATTGTTGGTGTTTAACACCACTTTCAGTACTATTGTCTATATCGTGGTGGTAAGGATTGATTGTTGGTGTTTAACACCACTTTCAGTACTATTGTCTATATCGAGGTGGTAAGGATTGATTGATTGTTGGTGTTTAACACCACTTTCAGTACTATTGTCTATATCTTGGTGGTAAGGATTGATGGATTGATTGTTGGTGTTAAACACCACTTTCAGTACTATTGTCTATATCGTGGTGGTAAGGATTGATTGATTGATTGTTGGTGTTTAACACCACATTCAGTACTATTGTCTATATCGTGGTGGTAAGAATTGATTGATTTTTGGTGTTTAACACCACTTTCAGTACTATTGTCTATATCTTGGTGGTAAGGATTGATAGATTGATTGTTGGTGTTTAACACCACTTTCAGTACTATTGTCTATATCGTGGTGGTAAGGATTGATTGATTGTTGGTGTTTAACACCACTTTCAGTACTATTGTCTATATCGTTGTGGTAAGGATTGATTGATTAATTGTTGGTGTTTAACACCACTTTCAGTACTATTGTCTATATCATGGTGGTAAGGATTGATTGATTGATTGTTGGTGTTTAACACCACTTTCAGTTCTATTGTCTATATCGTGGTGGTAAGGATTGATTGATTGATTGTTGATGTTTAACACCACTTTCAGTACTATTGTCTATATCGTGGTGGTAAGGATTGATTGATTGTTGATGTTTAACACCACTTTCAGTATGGTGGTAAGGATGGATTGATTGTTGATGTTTAACACCACTTTCAGTACTATTGTCTATATCGAGGTGGTAAGGATAGATTGATTGTTGGTGTTTAACACCACTTTCAGTACTATTGTCTATATCGTGGTGGTAAGGATTGATTGATTGTTGATGTTTAACACTACTTTCAACACTATTGCCTATATCAATGTGGTAAGGATTGATTGTTGGTGTTTAACACCACTTTCAGTACTATTGTCTATATCGTGGTGGTAAGGATTGATTGTTGGTGTTTAACACCACTTTCAGTACTATTGTCTATATCGTGGTGGTAAGGATTGATTGATTGTTGATGTTTAACACCACTTTCAGTTCTATTGTCTATATCTTGGTGGTAAGGATTGATTGATTGTTGATGTTTAACACCACTTTCAGTACTATTGTCTATATCATGGTGGTAAGGATTGATTGATTGATTGTTGATGTTTAACACCACTTTCAGTACTATTGTCTATATCATGGTGGTAAGGATTGATTGATTGATTGTTGGTGTTTAACACCACTTTCAGTACTCTTGTCTATATCGAGGTGGTAAGGATTGATTGATTGATTGTTGGTGTTTAACACCACATTCAGTACTATTGTCTATATTGTGGTGGTAAGAATTGATTGATTTTTGGTGTTTAACACCACTTTCAGTACTATTGTCTATATCTTGGTGGTAAGGATTGATAGATTGATTGTTGGTGTTTAACACCACTTTCAGTACTATTGTCTATATCGTGGTGGTAAGGATTGATTGATTGTTGATGTTTAACACCACTTTCAGTATGGTGGTAAGGATGGATTGATTGTTGATGTTTAACACCACTTTCAGTACTATTGTCTATATCGAGGTGGTAAGGATAGATTGATTGTTGGTGTTTAACACCACTTTCAGTACTATTGTCTATATCGTGGTGGTAAGGATTGATTGATTGTTGATGTTTAACACTACTTTCAACACTATTGCCTATATCAATGTGGTAAGGATTGATTGTTGGTGTTTAACACCACTTTCAGTACTATTGTCTATATCGTGGTGGTAAGGATTGACTGTTGATGTTTAACACCAACTTCAGTACTATTGTCTATATCGTAGTGGTAAGCAGTGTTCTCCCCAGGTATTTTGGATAGCATCACATTTGGCGAAAAAAAAATAAACTATTTTTTTCAATGTCATTTGTCGCGTCGTGGTGATGCTCTATTTCCTTTATGGTACAATGTTTATATTGTTCAATTCATAACTGAGAATACAATTAAAATATAACCATGATAACAGTTGTTTCAGTTTATGTTTTCTATATTCATTTATAGTTACTGTACAGAATTATTGTTTTCCTCTTGGGCCATATAACAATATATGTGTGGTTCTAGCAGAGACATATAATACAATATATGTCTCTGGTTCTAGTTACCCTACCTACCCAACTAAATGAATGAGTGAATGGTTTATTATAGTGCAACCTTTATATATATACAATACTAAATATCAAGTAAAAGAAAAGAAAGTATCATATAGCAATAAAATTTCAATTAAAAAAAAATTTTCATGTCTAAAAATTCATTGTTTCATGGTAGTCAATGAATTAGTCCCAGTTGTTTCTTTATATCGAGGTGATAGATATTTTTAACAAAGTTATCTAACAAATAGTCTGTTAATGCATAGTTTTCTCTTTTTGGTATATTTTTTTCTGTCTGCTGTGCCATTTGTGCATCTGTAGTTATTATTGTGAAAATGCGGATTTTTGTCATATCTGGTCCGGTTCCAATCGGTAGTTTGCACAAAAGTAGTCAATGGCGGCCGAAGAAAAATTAACGAAAATAAACAATGTTTGACAAGAGATTGGGAACGAATGTGACGCTTTTGATGTATTAAATGGATGAAACATAAACTTAAGCCAACTTATTGAGCCCAAAACCGATATGTTCGCTCTCGATTAACAAGTAGTACCGGCGGAAGAGAAAGAAAGTAATTTTATGAAAGTTGTAAAAATAAACGACCAAACCTCATTTTTAAAGAGAAAAATCGTTTGTATCTTTGAATTTCCGTAATGCAAAACGTAGATTTCGAATTGTTTTATGATTACATTTTTTCCATGTCTTAATTTGCGATTGCAGACAGACCACTTGGTATTAATCATGTCACAAGTGTCAGCTTGGGGTATTCGTATCCAAACAGTTATCACCCAAAAGGCAATTAACACCTTTTTAATCACTCTTAAATGCCTCTATTGTCCGATTTCAGGGGATTACACTTAAAGGTGATATAATTTTTATGATCATACGCGGTAATTAGATGAAAGTTCAAAATTTAGGACATGGATTTACGATATAGAAAGAAGAAAAATAGCATCCTCAAAATGATTATAGAGTCGCGGGAATTATTATAGCATCACGGGAAAAAATATAGCGTCGTCGTACCACGACGCTAAAACGGCCTAGGGAGAAC